TTTGAATTTCCATTTGATTATTATAAATTGATTAATTCATGTTCATGTATAAATAGTAGGTACATACATATCGTTGCCTTAATATAGAAAGGCCCTATCTCACATCGTCGCTGAAATGCACAAAGCCGTAACTAACAAAAATCTTTTATTGCATAAAACGATTTGGGGCCATATAATGCGATCAAATGCATCATAATCAATTAAAACGTAAATTTTCGATTTTAAGTTAGTTACGGCTTTTTGTATATCAGCGACGATGTCAGATAGGGCCTTTCTATATTAAGGTAGCGATATGTATATTAAGGTAATTTTGTAGTTGTTAGTGAGTAAAAACGTACAAAATATTTTGAATATTTTTGGTCTGTGGCTTTATTTATGAAAATATGAAAAGTATTGCGAATACGTCTTTCTTAAGAATTTGGCTTTAATGAAATCTAATCTATTTGATAAGTGACTTAAAGCACAGACAGACGGCGGAGTTGATCCGGATTAACGGCGAAGTTGATCTGATTAAAATTGTGCCTTGACCGACGGCAGTAATGCGGATTGTTAGTGAGTAAAAACGTACAAAATATTTTGAATATTTTTGGTCTGTGGCTTTATTTATGAAAATATGAAAAGTATTGCGAATACGTCTTTCTTAAGAATTTGGCTTTAATGAAATCTAATCTATTTGATAAGTGACTTAAAGCACAGACAGACGGCGGAGTTGATCCGGATTAACGGCGAAGTTGATCTGATTAAAATTGTGCCTTGACCGACGGCAGTAATGCGGATTAACGAGCCGGAAGGTCATGGGTTCCAGTCCCACGGCCAGTAGAATTTTCATTTATTTATTTTTTATGCGAATACGTCTTTCTTAAGAGTTTTGCTTTAAGAATAAAATCTAATATATTTGATGAGTAACTTAAAGCATAGACAGACGGCAGCGTGGATCCGGATTAACGGCGAAGTCGATCTGATTGAAATTGTGCCTTGACCGACGGCAGTAATGCGGATTAACGAGCCGCAAAGTCATGGGTTCGAGTCCCACGGCCAGTAGAATTTTCATTTATTTCTTTTTTATTCATTTTTTATGAGTTCTATATTTTTTTTTAACTTTGCTTTCAGTTAGTTGACGTTGATTTTTTTTGATAAAATTAAACTCTAAAAATTTAAATTAACAAAAAAAATGTAAAATAGATTGATAAAAAATAAAACTAGTGAAAACAATAAGGTATAATTAAATATATAAAACAAATGAAATAAAAAAAGTAAAAAATGAAATAAATAAAAACAATAAAAAAATTGGCAATCGCTCCAACCGAGGATCGAACCTAGCGCCTACACATTTGTAGCACGCACCTCTCCGCACTCGGCTAACGCGGACGCCAAACTCAGTTGGTTTGTTTTCTTACTTGTACAAAACACAACAGCTAGCCGTTTCCACCAGTGTTGTCATCGAAAATTGCCCTGATCCGAGTTAGTTTCCGAAAATTTCGTGCATTTGTTTGGCTGCTGATGCGCCGAATGAATGAGGAAAATGCATGAGTTAATGCAAATAAAGGCTGTTTATGCAAATAAGCGAGCCCGTTTGTCACCCGTATTAGGGGTTTTGGGTTTTGATGTCAATTTAAGTAAAGGCTGATTTCCACGGCCTTATTTTAACGATGAAATATGTAGACATATTTTGACACAACTTTCTTTTCGGTAATTCTTGCCGACACCTTTAATACTATTGGCCAAAAATAGTCAATAGCAAATTTAATTGGTATATTGTTTTTTACATCAATTTACAAAGTACATATTTCCATTTAATTGAGCACGAATTTCAACAAATAGAGAAGTAGTGAAAACAAGCTTACCTTGGTTCTTCAAAAGTTTATGGCTAAACATTTTTTCAAATCTGACATAATGAACTAAAAACATTCACAGATCTTAGTGCATATTCCTGGTAATTAATACCATTTCAACACCCTCCGGTTTCCGATTAGAGGTCGGCCGGTGTTTGTAAAGCAATTATAGCTTTCAAACAAGCCGTTGCCAGGCTGCCGGGTAACTAGAAACCGTAGCGTGCGAAATTAAAGCTTTTCTGACAAATGGGGAATTTTAATTTGCAATACACTTTTGAAGAATTCCATACCTAGTGGAAATCAAAAATTTCGCAGAACGAAAAGGAAATGAAATTAATACAATATTCGCCTTTGAGCCTAATACATTTATCAGCCGCTTTCTAAGACTTATTTATAATGTCTCCTAGATTAAATATTCAGAAAATGACCAATCTCAGTTATTTTTATTCTCCCGCAATATTGAAGCCCTTAAGGAGAACATCCGTTAAAAAATACAAAAGTTGTAGGCAGAAGTATTGCATCAAACTATGGAAAATGACATAATTAGTTATGGCGACGCTCACTTAGGTGATATATCCAAATAACATTGGGTCATTTATTTTAGGTTACCTTTTACTTGCCGACCCAGGCTCATAGCGATAAAACCAAATTTCGCCTCAGTAACAAACCGAATATTGCACGAAGGTACGAATATCCGGATATTCGAATATGGGGATAGTCCCAGCCCTACTCTACACATACGGAAAACTCGCGTATACACTCGAGCGGGTCGGTGTCCGGTGCAGTGTTGCCGTTGATAATTTTCAGAAAGTCGCAAAAACGGGTAATTGACGAAAAAAGGGTCACCATATTATTTTTGCTTTGTTTCGCTAGTAAAAGAATAAATCTGAGATCCAAAGTCAAAGTCAAATTTACATGTATTTTAAAGTATTTTCTTTGCTATTGAATTTAAAAAGAAAATAGCGGTACAAGCTTTGAACAAAACACAGAAATCGAAGTGCTGCAAGGAGAAGAGTTGCATTTCCTTTAAAAGTTTTAAGTGGACCATTTTTTCGTACTTCAGGAGGAAAATGTTCCACTAGTCACAATGAAATGGCCCAGCTGTTAAAAGTTTAGAACATACATAGCCAAAATTTTACTGCACAGAATCGTGAGGTCTTATGGCGTTCTTGATGTCTGAGCGAAGCGGGCAATGAGAAGGTAAAATTTTTCGGTAGAAAATAGAACGCCATTAATTTGTGCCATGCTTGTGGCATTCATTTTTCTATTTGTTTTATTGTCTTACTGCATACGTGTGTACATTCGGGTGGGCCTTAAATGTAGGAAGCAAATTTTTACATCAGATTTCCTAGGCCTCAACTACTACGTCGATGCTACTATAGTGGAAGATATCGCATATAAATTTTGGTCCCGACTGGTGAAGGTTAAGGCGTGTCGCACAGAGGTACAAGTTCAGATTACCATATGAAAACGTCTTAAGCGACTGCAATCGAGACCAAAATTTATATGTGATACCTTCGACTTTAGTATTATCGATTTAGGGTATTAAACAAAACAAAGTAATCTGAACTCTGCCCCCTGTGCGACACGCCTTTACCGACTCCAGTCGAGATCAAAATTTATATGTGATATCTGTGATCGTGGTATTACCGATTGAGGGGGTTAGACTGAAAAAAGTCG